GAGGCCTCTTAAGGGAATTGGGACAAAATCCTCAGCTTTTCTGGCCAAGCTGGGCAACCAAGGGAAAAAGGCCTCAGTTCTCTGAACCAACTGAGTCCTGTATCCAGCTCCTGATAGGAGTGGAGGGATCCACCAAGGAAAGAATAGTCGGGAAACCAGGGAAGACAGATCTGTTGTCTAGCGAGGTACAAGGCAGTGATGGGACTATTTCTTTTCTATTTTGCCTTGACCATTGGTACTTAGAATACTAGAGAATGTTAGGCATTTGGAGACATCCAATTCCTTCATTTTCCAGATAGGAAAACTGAATCTCAGAGAAAAGAAGGGACTTGCTTAAGACTGTGAATTTATGCCAGCACAAACTCTAATGCTAGTGGTCAGATCTGAGGAGGGCACTTTGAGGGATATCCATCCCCTAAGGGAAAGGCTCTCGGGAAAATCTACTGTCAAGGACTTCTCCAAAGTGTTGGAGATCAACACTCTCCAAATGATCTTAAGGACTAAGGTGCACCTGATCCAAACCATGATCTTTTTAGCTACTTGCTATGAATCTGAACATTGGACAGTGAATAAGGATGGCAGAAGAACTGGTGCCTTTGAGTTGTGTTGTTGGAGAAGAGTAATGACTATCCCATGAACTGCTAAAAGAACAAGTAAATATATCTTGGAGAAGGTGCAACCAGAGTGCTCCTTAGAAGCAAGGACAGTGAAACTCATAAACTTTGGGGATATTGTTAGAAAGGACCAGTCCTTGGAAAAAGATGCCATGCTTAGAAAGGTGGAGAGTGTCAGTGGAAGGAGGGAAAGATCCTCAACAAGCTGGGTTGACACAAGGACTGTAACAATGGGCTCGAGTGTATCAGAGATGGTGAGGCTGGCACAGGATAGGGTAGGGTTCCAATGTATTGTTCATTGGGTCCCTTAGTTGTAGTTGACCTGACAGCACCTAACAACAACAAAGGATAAGACTAAAAGAAATGACTCTAAAATGCAAACAGAAGGGTTCAGGTGAGCCATGGCAAGAACTTTCTGACTCCAATATGGATAGCTGAGGGTGACCATGGAACAGCCCTCTCTGGGATAGAGTCTTTCCTAGAGGCAAAGGTGTCCCTGAAATGTTGTCTGTACCCTCTTCCCAAGGGCACCCCTCCCACGCCAATCTTTGGGAGTCTTGGGGAGCCCAAGGGATGCACGTTTTCTCTCCCAGAACCCGGCGCCTTGGCCGGCGGCTGGGGGAACTTGAGAGGCCAGTTCTGGAACAGGTGCAACAGCTGGAGCAGCTTCGCAGCTGTTGCCCAGCTCAGCTCTGCAGCCTGAGTCAGTGAGTGAGGCAGAGACCTCTACTGGTGGGAGAGAGGAGGTAAAGAACGCCTGTCAAGGACCCACACAGAGGCCTGACTGGACCCATTCTCAGCACTCCTTCCCTCAACCCCACACGCCATCTAGTCAGGCAGATGGGAATGGGGCTAAACTGAATAATAACAGGGCAGGGTCCCCACCACCCCATAATCCCCAGGCGCAGTCTCCCAGAGGTAGAGGATCTGATTGACCCTTTCCTCCTGGCAGGCCAGAAATCCCAAGCTGCAGACTCATGCAGACTCATCCCTTTTCTATAGGTCAGTGTAGATTCTCAAGAGTCAAGGCAACAATATCTTTGGATCTTGGAATCTTAAAATCACATACTGTTAAAATGGAACTGTCCACAAAGATCACCAATTTGAGCTCAAACAACTTGTTTTATAGCTGGGGAAACTAGGGGTCAGAGTAAGGCAATCTACCATGCAGGGACCATGGTGGGAGCTGGTGGATGGAGCCTCAAAGTTATGATTCCAGGTTTGCTTTCTGCATCACACAATACCGTGGGCATCTTCCTTTCAGCCCCATCCCTGCTTTTGTGTCTGGAATTCCTCTACCTGGGAACAAAAGCTTCAATTGACAAAATACATATAACTTGAAGAATGAATAGAGAAACTGACTTTTTTTTACTGTGACAAGGGACCCTTTCTTGAAAGCAGAATTGGGTAGAGGTTGGGAAGCTCCTCTCTCTCTTTCTCTGTGTGTGTGTTCCCTCTGGGAGGTGGTAATTAGTGAGTGAAGGCACAAAGGACAGGAAAAGAGGTCCAGAAACTAGTCAGTTCTTAACCTCACAGAGGGGATTGGTGCACAAAATGACAGAATGACCAGCATCTTATATATGCCACTCAACCTGGACCTGAGCTCAGTATTGGTCAGTTGACCACATCAGAGATGCAGCCTGAGGGAAAGGATCTAACTTGAAGGTGAAACTGGAGTTCAATCTGGTGCTCAAAGGTTAGAGAGGTAGGGCTTTAGCCTGTGGCTGGAGTTCAGCCCCCATCTGTGTTGACATCAGAGCCCAGGCTATGACTGGAAATAGAGCTAAGGATAGAATAACCTTTGTTTTTAGTTTTGCACTTTAACTGGGAAGCAAGTTGCTACTCATGCTTGCAAAGCCTCGGCATTCTGCAGGACTGGGCACCCCATGTGATTGATATTACACAGACTTGAGAATTTCCATCTGTTGGTACCACTTCTAAAAACACCTAAGATAACACTAGAAGATTTCTCATCCATGATAAGCTTAAGACCTTGTTTAAACTAAGGTCAAGATCTTAATAAGAGATCCTCAAATGGGACCCCGGGACATGACTATAGGATTGTAGCTTCACAGCTTGTCAGCACTAGAAAAAACGAGGCTCAGAGAAGGAAAGTGTCTGGGACACACAGTCAATGACAGATTGGGGACTAGAATCCAGGTCTCTACTCTTTAACAGGAGTCCCTGGGTTATGTAGATGGTCAATGTGTGGTTGCTAACCAAAAGGCTGGAGGTTCAAGCCTACCCCAGAGGACCCTGTGATTTATTTTTTAAAAAACCAGCCAACCCCCTAAGAAAACTCTAAGGAGCACAGTCCTACAGTGACATTCATGCAGTCTCCATGAGATGGAAACAACTTGCTGGCAACTGCTGCTGGCTTTTTAATAAATCTAATGTATGACCTTAGATATGTCTGTCCTTATTTCTGGGTTTCAGTTTAACTGTGTGACTAGGTACATTGAGGAGCAGAGGCCAATGATTTTCAAGGGCTCCTTTAGCTCTGACATCTCTGAATCTGAACATCTTCCTTTGAATGCCAGCCAACCTCACCATAACAAGTCTGTTGAGAGCTTTTCTTCTTGTATGTAAGAAATGTGAGAACTCCCTACTTTCAAAACTGTAGGGGATGATGGAACACTGGCAGGACACAATAAGACCTTAAGGTCAGTGAAGGCATGGAGAAGGGGAGAGCCAAGAGTCAGGGGGAATTTGCTAGATGTGATGTGATCTCAGCCAGACTATGACAGGTTGAGGAGATGAAAGGTGAAGAGAGGACTATGAGTGGAATATGAGAATCCTGCCAGGTGATCTGATTCTAGGATATCGTGGAGGCTAAGAAGGAGATGTTAAGTGGAAGAAAGAGGTATGGAGAGCATCCTGCACTGACTCCTGGAGGAAGCAACAAACAGGTATTAGAAGGAAGCCATCAAAAGGGGAGGAGATGACTCTACAGAACATCAGGACTTTTCAAGTTATAGGTTAGTATCTCCCTTTGGCTGACGCTGAAGTTCATAGAGTTGAGACTTCTGAAGAGACACACTACTCAGAAGAGGCAGGGGCAGGACTCGCACTCAACACTGACAGAGTTCTTTCCATCACTTTTTCACCAAGGACTCCTGAGAGACTTACATTGCTGTTAGACCTGAGATAATCCCCCCTGCCTTCACGAGTAGAGGCAGGACTGAAACAAAATCCAGCAGCACCCAGCTCCAGAAAGTCACGTGCTAAAAGAAAGACATGGATTGGAGGACTGAGCTGTGGAGGGGAAAGAAGTCCAGGCTGGGAGCTGGGAAACCAGAAGCCCTGCCCTGTGTGAGACCTGGAGCAAGCCACAGCCCCTACTTGGCCTCAGTTACTTTATCAGAGAGATGGGCCTTGGACTAATCTCTCGTCTCACTAAGGGAACCTGTGGTTTGGCTTTTCATCCTCACTGCATCCTAACAGATCTGCAAGAAGTGAATGGCTTAGAATCTATCAGCCTATTGTGACAGCAGCTAGGAAAGTCTGAAAGAGTAGATAACTTGTTGAGGTGTCTGTGTCTAAAGCGAAAAGTTTCAATTTGGGAATTGATATTTTTCAAGCACCTATTTTGCACCAGCCTTGTATTGATTGCTTTTCATGTCTTTAATCTTCTGTAGTCTTCACAACAGTCCTGGAAGTTTTCTAGATTAGGAAACTGAGGCAAAGAGTACAGAAGCATAAACTCACCCAATCCCACCAGCTGACATTGAACTGGGAGTGGGAAGATGACGATCTTGGTCTATCTATCTCAACTGTGTCATGCTCTGAGTTTCATTGCTCCAAACCAGGCCACTCCCAGACACTGTGGGACAGAGGGGAAACTCAGAGGATTTGGTGCTACACAGTCTTTGGGCTTTGGGAAGCTTTCTAGCTCTGTAAACAAGAGCAAATTTCTTTCTTTTTCTCAGCTTAAATTTTCTTATTTGTAAAATATCCATGATACCTACCAATTGGAGATCTGTGAAGATCAAAAGAGATAAAGAAATGGGAACGCTATTCTAGTTAGCACTTACTTCTTCCAACATGCTCCTTCTATAGGTACTAACAGCCTTTCGTTTATAAAGTTACTCCTTATTTGAGGTCAAATACACCCAACTCTCCACTAGGAATGGCAAGCCTGCCCTCTCCCTCATTGGGCTCAGACCCCTGTCACTAAGCCCATGCTAGCAGTCTTGGAGTGTCAGGGTCTTGCCAATGGTCTTCTGAAATAATCAGCTCAACGTTGGTGGCAGAGAAGCCTCCAGCCCTCCCTACACAGGTGCTGCCCAGGTAGCTGCTAGAACAGCCGGAGGTCCCACATCTTGGCACTTGGGTTCCACCGGCTCCCTTGGCCCCTCTGCTTGCCCAGTCTCCCCTTCTACTTACGGGCTCGAGCATGGGAGTCCAAAGGGAACCAGAGCAGCGCGAGTCCCAGCAAGGAGGAGAGGACCCTCACCTCAGGCACCATCCTTCCGTCCCCCAGAGCCAGTCGCTGAGCCCGGAGGGGAGTCTGGAGAGGACACTGAGGCGCAGTATCCCAAAGCAATCAACAGACCAAGCGAGAGCTGCTGCAGCAGCAGAGGAGACTAGAAAGGAAGGCAGTGAGGAGAGGAGGGAGCCCAAGGTGGAAATAAGAGAAAGGTGTAAAGAGAACAAGGGACAGGGAAGGAAGGAGATGGAGAGAAGGAGGAAGAATGGGCAGGAGGTAAAAGCAAGAAGAGAAACGGACAAAGTGAGAGGGAGAGCAGTAGAAGAAAGAGGAGAGAGGGCACAGGTTACGAGAGCGCGCGGCTTGGGGCGAGGCGCGCAGGACCACCGGGCTGTTGTGGGCACGCGGGCTGGAGGCGGCGGGCGCCCCCTGCTCGGCAGGCTCGGTGTCGGGCTTCGGGGGCCCGGGGCCCGGCGTGCGCACCGGCGGTGGTGGCGGCGCGGGCGCGGGGCTGGCTGAGCGCGGGCCGGCTGTGCACGCCGAGAGCGCCAGGCGCGGCGCTCGGGCGCATTTGTACTTTGCCGCGGGAAGCAGGCAGCCCGGCCTGGCGCTAGCCGCGTCCTGGCGCCTCCTCTGGGCCACGGCGGACTCGGTGGATTGGCCACCCGAGGAACAGGCCCACTTTTTTCTCCTCCTCTCTCGTGCGGGTCTCCGGGACGGACGCCCCAGGCGCGGCGCCGGGAGGGGGAGAGGGGGCTACGGAGGGGGAAGGGGCCACTTGGGCCATGGGTTTTTAACCCCTGCCTGTCCGCGACGCCCAGAGCTCAGGAGGAGAGAACCCTGTGATGATTCAGGTGGGACTTCCCTGTGGTTTAGGAGGAGATACCAGGGTCGGCGGGAGGAAGGGAATGTTGAGAAGTGGGAGGCTCTTAGGGCAGGATGCTAGGCTATCAACCCTTGCACAGAACTCAGCATCCAGATGGAATCAGGACACTTGTGTCTCTGTTTCTGGACCTCTAAAAGAGTTTTCTTATAGTCAAAACAGTTTGTGAAAAATCAGAGGAGATAGTGAACATCAACACACTGAAGACTCAGGGAGAAAGAGTCATAATTGTCGGGCAGAGAATGCCCTTCACAGTTCCGCTGTCTGCATGGACCCTCCATTCCCCTATTGAAGTCCAACCCAGCTGAATCCTCTGAACTTTCCACGCTTTTCTCATCTGTCTCCTGTGGGAGGATATACTCTCCTCTTAGTCTGCAGGTGAGGCCCACACCTCTCTAGCAGTGGTGACAATGATCAGTTATCTCCAATGAGCACTGGAGAGCAGGGCTCCGACTCCTCCAGTCCCCCATGCTGCTCTGTGCTTTGTGTTGAATGAGAACATCAACTGTCTGAAGAAATAACCAGTCTGTCTAGGGAGAAGTACAGCTAGAATGCTCCTATAAAGCGAGGCTGGTGAGATTTCATCTCATGTACTTTGGACATTTTTTCAGGAGGCAGCAGTCTCTGGAGAAGGACATCATGCTTGGGAGAGTATCATTGGACAAGACAAAGACTTTCAATGAGATGGGATTGATGCAGTTGCTACAACAACGAACTCGAACTACCTTGATTATGAGGATTGTATGGGACCAGCCAGTGTCTCTTCTGTTGTATGTAGGTTCATTGTGAATTGAGACTGACTCTGTGGTATCTAATAACAACAACAAAGGAGAGACTGTTCAGTTCTGTCCAGATAAGAAACACCATCAAGAGCAAGCCTAATTCTCTCCCTGACTTGCTTGGTAAATGCAGTCAGTTTCCTTTTAACCTCCAAAATTCAGGCTAGTTCCTCCAGCAGAGCTATTGGAGACTCCAGGGTGTGTTGGGAGGGTGAGCACTGGGAGAAGTAAATGAGGAACTGGACTGTTGAGCCACTTCCAACAGTGGGCTGGTAGGGAATCAGACTTTCAGGGTGGAACAGTCTTGACTAGCTGTTTGTGGAAGAGAACTTCCTGGACAGGCTAGTCTCCCCCTTACAACTTACTGCCAGGCTGAAACAGAGCAGCAATTAGAATGACTGTTTCCAGAAACAGCATTCAGACTCTCAGAATCAAGGACAACAGACTTAACTTCTGTCATTCCTTTCTGTCCAGTCTCTTCCTCTTCCTTGAGTTTGTGTCATTTTAACAGAGAATGAAAGCTAGATGTGTCATCATACTTTACTTTTTGCCTTGGTTTCAGGAAGCACAGAGTTAAATTTAGAGCTTAATTACACACGTAAAAAAGTTCATCCCAAGGAAATGGGACAGAGATCTTTTCCTCTTTTTGTTTAAAGACTGTGGTGCACAAGTGTAAGATGGAGTAGAAAATTGATTTCCTCTACATCATGCTTGTCCATCTTACTTTAAAAAAATCCCATCTTCCCTAATGAACCATTCAAAACTCAACCTCCATGAATGACCCTGAGACAAAAAGAACTAGGTGGTATCCAGCTACTATTACTGACTGCTCTAAAAGTGATCACAGGAGAAGGTCCTAGCAGAGTGGGTGGAAAATGTGGAACAAATCTCAAGAACATAAAAATGGCCAGGCTTCCAAAGAAACCATAACCACACATGTTTATCTTACTTAAAAAATTTCATGTTCACAATAGCAAAGAGTTGGAAACAACCCAAGTGCCCATCAACAAACAAATGGATAGGGAAGCTGTGGTATATTCACACAATGGAATACTATGCTGCATTGAAAAACAAGGAACCCATGAAATATTATTCAAAATGGGTGACCCTGGAGTGAAATATCTCAGTCACAAAAGGACAAATATCATATAGTGCCACTGTTGTAAAATGGGACTGACATCGGGGTTCGGGGGCAGACTGAGAAAGATGGGATAAATTATGTATACCGCATTGAAGCAGATGAGAGAGAACTGTTTGAAAGGGATATATGATTAGGTATTCTTGCCATGACAGGAGTCCAGAATGAAGGCTACATAGTAGAGTGGACTTGGGGTGGAAGGATTGTATAACAATGAAAGAATTTTTCTTTTCAAAGAGAAGAAGGAACTGGAGGGGAAGGGTGGGCAGGGAGAAAAGTGCAACAATGAATGAATAGAAATCCAAAATCTCTGTAAAGTTTCATTAAAATTAATACCATAACAATAATAAAAAAATGTCCAGGCTTATTAGTCTGATAGAGACTTATGGAACTCCCAAGACTACAACTTTTAGTCATACTTTGAGCAAAACTCACATTGTGGCTCAACTTTCAGCCAAAACCCAGAGAGTCCTTTTGGTTGTTAGGTGCTGTTGAGTGACTATGACTCATAGCATCCCTAGGAACAACAGATCAAACCTTGCCCTATCTTATGTTATCCTCATAATGTCTACCATGCTCAAACCCATTGTTGGAATCATTATGTTAATCCATCTCATTGACGGTCTTCCTTTCCTTTACTGACCTTCTACCTTTCTAAAGATGATGTCCTTTTCCAAGGAATAGGCATCTCCTAACACTAAGTCCAAAAAACACGAGACAAAGTCTTACCACTGCAGATCTATCAGGTGAACTCCAGGGAAGTACTTATTGCTTAGAACAATCAAGCATACAAGATCAAAAGGACAACATTTACCGAGAGATAAAACTCAAAGACAGGAACGGGTAGGAGAGAAGGATTCATAGAAATGAGAACGACATGAGAATCACAGGAATGATGTGTGGTTACATTGTGAGTCTTGTAATTAATGTCATAAAACAAAGTACATATGAATGGTTAAGTGGAAAAACCAAGTTGCTCCATAAATTTTCACTAAATCACAATAATTTTTTTACAAAGTCTCTACTATCTCACATCTTCTTTCCATCTTATCAAGCTCAGAATAAATTACTTGGACTTCCTAAACAGTTTTTTAGCATGTCTCCCACCCCAGCTTGTTGCTGTTGTTAGGTGTCATTGAGCTGATCATAGCCACCCTGTGACTAACAGATCAGAACATTGCCCTATCCTATGCCATTGCCATATCTGCCAAACTCAAGCCCATTGCTGCAGTCATTGTGTCAATTCATCTCCTTGAGGGTCCCTCTCAATATTTTTCCCTCTCACATTTACTAGAAGAATTGAGCTGATAATTTATATTCACAAATTGATCATACCGCTTTCCCCCCACTAAAACTCATCAGTGCCTTCTTATGCTTACACATTAAAACCCAGAATTTTTAGCTTTGTATTCAAGTCTCTCTGGACTATTGCCACTTACTCTGTGCTTTCACCAAGACCTTATTTCCCCACACTGGCCCAAGCATTTTAATTCTTCAGTGTATTTGTATATGCTTTTCTTCTGCCTGGATTGTGTTTTTCCTCCCCCAACTAGTAAATCACAAGTCAGCTCAGAGTCACTTCCACTTAGAAGCCTTTATTCCCCTAGATGCAGTGAATTCTTGGCCCTCAGTGTTTTTCACAACACTTTGCATTATAGATATTGGAGTGTAAAGAACTGTACTGCCAGCCTAAAGGCCTGTGGTTCAAATCCACCAGCTGCTCTGTGGGAGAAAGATAGGCAATCTCCTCTCATGCGATTTTCAACTTTAGAAAACCAGCTGGCGAGTCAATTCCAACTTGATGGCACATAACAACATCTCAACTGTGAAGAAGCCTCATGGCACAGACATTACTGCATTCAGCTACTAGCCATAGATTAGTGCCTCAGATCCACCAGGCACTCCACAAGAGAAAAGACTTGGTGATCTGTTCCCTGGCAATCTGTCTCTGCAGACTAGACTAGGAAACCTCATAAGGCAGTTCTCACAGAGGCACTATGAGTTTGAAGCAACACAGTGTTCAACTATGAGGGCAAATGGCTCACACCCTATGCCCTACATTTATGTCTGTGTCTTCAGCACTTGGCAAAGTGGCGCTCAAAAGACACTGAGTGGATAATTGCTACGTGAAATAAATGACCACCTCAGTAATTTTGAAAAGAAGACATTTTTCTTCCATAGGACTACCTTCAGTTCCCTACTTGAACTTTCATCATAACTGACAACCACTCAGGGGAAG